TGGTGCGCCTTGCAGGATGGTGCTCTCCACAACAAGCCTGCCACCCCCCCGGTGGTGTGAGCCATGGTGGTCACAGAGGCGGGGTGGCCTCCCCATCGCTGCAGTTCTCCCGGCGGCTGGTGGGGCACACAGGCAGCGCAGCCTCCTCCCCGTGTGACTCCCCCATTTCTTTCTTCCGTGCACATGCAGCGAGAGGGGACAGTGCCCCCCAGGGAGCTCTGGTTTGCTCCAATCTTTTCTGTGTGGGCATGTTCACCCATATGTGTGAGTGCACAGAGGACCGCACAAAGAGCTGTGGTTACAGCTGAGCAGTCCGTACTTTAAAAAGAAGTGCAACTCTTTGTGCCCTGTCCATGCTTGTTTGGCACTGCAGAATTCACTTCTCTCCGGGAAAGCTTGCAAAAAGCAGAAGGGCTCCCCTCTCGCAGGCTCCCCCTGGGGATGGTCGAGTCCCCCGCAAGGACGGATCAGGCGGGAACCGAGCCGTGTGGTGACTGGCCAGCCCTCCTCCCAGCATTTCCACAGCTGACCTCGGGGGCGAACGGCAGTTCTGTGGTTGGCTTGTTACTGGGCACCCTGGGACCAGTGCTCTGTCCGTTGCCTCAGCAAAGGTGGCTGAATCCCATTGCTCCCCGTGCTGGGCGGCCAGGCGGGTTCCTCGCCCCGCCTTGTGTGCCTGGTGATCCACTTGGGCTGCTCACATAAAAGCACTTGGTGTCTTCCTGGAGAGGAGCGTGTTGTGTGCAGGGGCTGCCAGCTGGAACAGGCCAGATCAGGCCAGCCTCGCCCCCCCCCCCCTCCCCTGAGCGAGCTGCCAAGAGACCCGGCTGGCCTGAGCTTGCGATGAGCAAGGACTGAGGAATCTACAGGCTGGATTGCGCATGGCTGAGCGGTTGTCTGTTGCCCTCAGCTCACTTTGCGATGTCGCCCGTCGGTGTCCAGAGGAGGACAGCTGAGGAAGCTTTTGCAGCTTGTGCGCGGTCAGACATGGTGCCTGCCAGTGGAGCAGGGGCCGAGGAGGGCGAGATTCCTCTCCCGGCCTGCCTACGGTGCACATTTTGATTTAAGGGCCGGGTGGGGTGAGGAGAGAGGATGGTGCGAAGCAGCAGCACGTTCGTAGGCTGGGAAGTGGGAAACCAGTGAGCACATGCGCTTGCCTTGGACGGAGTTGTGGCAACAGCCCTGCTGGATCAGAGCCGTGGTCCAGCTGGTCCAGCACTCTGTCCATGCAGTGGGAAATTTGCACACAGGATCCCTCAAGCAGGATTGGTGCCCAAGGTCCTCAGCCACTGGTGAACCACCTCTGGTAACTATGGAAGCACATGGCCAGCAAGGCTGACCGCCCTCGGTAGCCTTCTCCTCCCCCGTGTTGTCCAGTCCCCTGTTAAAGCTGTCCGGATTAGAGCCGCCACCACTTCCTGTGGTGACAGATTCCATACTTCCACTCTGTACTGTGCCGATTGGCTTCCTTTTCCCACCAGTCAGCTTCGTGGCATGGCCCCTTTGGGCTCGAGTGCTCTGAGAGGGACAGGAAAAGGTTCCCCCCCATCCACTGGCTCCCCACTGCGCATGGTTGTAAATGCCTCCTTTGCGTCTCCGCTCTCTCGCCTTTTTTCTCCGTGGGGCAGTCCCAGTTGTTGAGCCACTCCTCGTGGGGCGATGCGCACCCCCTTGATCACTGTCGTGGCCCTTCTCCACACCTTTTCCAGTGTCTTCCGCAGGTAAGGCAGCCAGATCTGCGCACCGTGCCCTAAGTGCGGTTGCACCGACGAGTTGTGTGAGGCGAGAACGATCCTGGCAGTTTTCCTTTCCACTCCTTTCCCCCTTTGCCTGGCAGGGAGTTGACCTCCCTTGCGGCAGCTGCTTGCCGAGCCAGCAGTGTTCACTGAGCTGTCCCCCACCAGTCACCGCCAGCTCAGATCCCAGCGTCAGAGACTTGCAGCTGGACATTTCCCCCCAACATACATCGCCTGGCAGTGGCCCCCCGGAAGTGCCCGTGCCACTTTGGTGCTGCTTCCCCCGGCTTGGAGAGATCCCTTTGGGGCTCCTCACAGTCTCCTTGGTTTTAACCACCCAAACAAGTTTCAAATCATCAGCAGACCCAGTCCCATCTCAGCGTACTCCCAGTTCCAGGGCACTAAAAGCACTGGTCCCAATAGAGACCCCTGTGGGCCTCCACTGGTGACATCCCTCCACTGGGAGACGAGGCAGTTTATTCCCACCCACTGCCTTCTGTTCTTTAACAGGTGAGTGACCCATGGGGGGACAGCCCCCCTTCATTCCATGGCTGCCAAATTTCTCAGGAGCCTCCGGTGAGAGCTGGCCGATCTCTGGCACAGAGGTGGTGTCTTCAAGGACTTGGAATCTTGCCCTGTACTTTTGGATGGAGCGAAGTCCTTCTGTAGGGTACCCACTTCTGCTTCACCAGGAATGAGAGCAAAGCTGGATGGTGCCTCAGAGCAGAAGGCAGAACAAAGACGAGCCGGGGAGGGATGGGCAGGGTGAGGAGCCAGGCTGGAAGATGGGAGAACTGAGGCAGCAGAAAGCATCCTGGAGCATCACCTGGAAGAAGAAGGAAGGCCGAGCCTGCCCCTTGCTGGGGGATTGGCAGTGCCCAGCCCTGCTAAGCAGGAACAGAGGGGTGACAGGTGGGGGGGTGGATTGTGGGGGTCAGGAGAAGGATGGACCCTATTTCGGGCCTTGAGTGGCTCACCAGGGACAGTAGCTTGTGACCCTGGATCCACGTGCCCCTCAAGTGTAGTTCTAGGGATGGAGTCTCTTTGGCAGGCTGCCTGTCTGCCGGAGCTTGCAGCAGGATACCTCTGCCTCCAGCAGTGGGCCTTCTGGCCGCCATTTGCCAATGCCTTTGCTCAATTTTGAAGGCTTCTGAAAACTGACCTACCGGAAGAGCCTTTGGAATGTTGTAGATCACAAGCTAAGTGTGAGCTGACAATGCGATGCAGCTGCAAAAAGGGCAAATACTATTTTAGGCTGCAGTAACAGAAGCATCGCTTCCAAACCATGTGAAGTGCTAGTTCCCTCTGCTCAGCACTCCCCAGACTTTATCTGGAGTCCTGTGTCCAGTTCTGGTCACCCAAGCTTTAAAAGACACAGAAAAGCTAAAAAGGGTCCAGAAGTGGGCAACAAGGATGATTCAGGGCCTGGAGGCAAAGCCATCTGAGGAAGGATTGCAAGAACTGGGTATGTTCCGCCTCAGGAAGGGAAGGCTGAGGAGAGAAAGGGTGGGCTGTCACAAAGAGGAAGGACAAGATCTCTTCTTCTTCGCTCCAGAGTGCAGGTCATGGAACAATGGACTTAAGTTGAAAGAAGTGGGGCAGTGACGGGGGATTCAGGGGTTCCTTTCTCTGCATTTCTCAAGAAGCCAGAAACAGCTAGAATGGTTGTAATTACCCTTACGCCACGTGCCCCTGGCTCCGGACATGCTGCACTGTCTTACACCTATTTTAAAAGCTGCTTCTCATTAGAAGCAGAAGGACTCTGCTCTTGCTCAGAGACCCTGGGGCTTCCTGTGGGGCAGGATCACATGGAGAACACTCAGGGCTACTGTGTCTGTGTGACTGCAGTTCCGCAGTGGACCTCCCACTGTGGGCCTGATCCAGTCTCAGAGGCGCATATAGGATAGCTGAGCGATCCTAACATGCCTGTCATGTGACAACAGTTCATGCTGATGGGGAAGAGCGGTTTCTGGTTTTTACTTGCACCTCCCTTGGTTGGCACAAAGGGGGTCATGAAGACTTCCAGGAAATGTGGCAATGCAATTGGCAAGGGCTGACCCCTAGTCTTGGTTACTCACTTCTGGTCTTTTGAAAATATAGTGCGAGGCGTGTCTGAGGAAGGCAGTCTTCCGATGGGCTGCTGCTTCTGAGCGGGGACTTGGTAAAACTTGCATCGGGTGGGGGGTTTTCCTGTCCAAATCATGTGCCTTGACCCGCCCTTCTCCACAGCAGGCAACCCTGAAGAAAGAGGAGCACGGCCTCTCCCCGGCTGCAAGAGTCACTCTGGAGTGCTCAGGATCGCCACTACGTCCTCAATATCAGTATCCAAGTCTCTGGTTCACTTTTTCCCCTTGAGTTTTATGGTCAGAATGTAGCTGGCAGCACTAGAACTTGAGTCTCCGTGGTTATGCAGAATAGTGTAGGCTCAGTTCAGAATTCTCTCTCCAAATGCTGGTGTTCAGTGTAAGGCCCGACTCAACAGAGCATGACCCAGGCTTGCTCACCCCCTGGAATCAAAAATCAAGGGCTGAAGTGCATTTGCGGGCACTGGGTTGTGCCAGCTCTGGCTGGGCATTGTGTCCAAACAGACCCACCCAGGTGCTCCGGGGTGGCAGCGCCCCACGATGGGGAGGCTGAGCAGGTGTGGGGCGGAGCCAGGCACGCCTGTTCCATGGTGAGAAGCCCCGGTTTGTCAGGATTCCTGACCCCAATAGGATGCTCACCTCCTGTACTATTCTGGGTTGGAGGCCTGCAGCATTTGAACGGGTGGCATATCCAACTGCAAACGTATTTTTGAGATACCTTGTCTGCCTCTACTGATAATACAATTGCCAGTACGTTGTACTTTCATATATATGCGTTTCTTATGTATTGCTGTGATGGGCATATTTAAAAAGCTCTGAAAAAAAGAGGAGGAGTGAGGGAGGCCAGACGGAAGTCCAGATGTATCTGACCTGAGCCCTAGTCCAAATCCACGCCTTCCCTCCAGTGCCCTGCTGAGCCCACCGTGATGCAAGCAGTTCCCGTTCGCGGCAGCCTCTCTCGCCTCCTGCTTCCCTGCAGTGCCGGGTCTCGCTCCAGGCCCGGACCGGACCGGACCGCTCCTGCCTGCACCTGCAGACCAGGGCCAGTACAACATCACTCCACTTCTCCCATGTGCAGCTTGTCTTTTCCTTTCCACCCCCTTTCTGAAGAGATCTCAACGTGTCCATAAGCTGTAACACAAAATAAACCAAACAAAATTCTCCCCCATCCCTGTTTCAGACATTAAGAAAGAAAGGTTTTAACGGTTGTGACAGTCCGGAACCTGACGGGGAGGACTCCATCGACCAGAGCCCTCTGATGGAGGACAAATACCGCAAGGCCAGCGAGGACCTCGACATCCTGTTCAAGCGCTACGGCGTAAGTAGCGCGCCACTCCAGCTGGAGAGCCTTCACCATCTCTCTCTCTCTTGTCTCCCCCCGCTCCCGTGTGTGTGTTCGACTCATCCATCCCCCTCCTCTCGCCCCAAACGACCTCCCTTCCACACCTTCTCTGGCCACGTGACAGGCGCTGAACAAGAAGCATAGAGAGTGTGAGAGCCCCGACGGGGATGACGTGTTTACGTTGACGCCTCAGACGGAAGAGAAATATAAAAAGATTGATGAGGAGTTTGATAAAATGATGCAGACTTACAGGCTCGCAGTGAGTAGCGCCTGGTGGGCCTGCCGACCCCCTCCCCATGGCCAGGGTTGCCAAGCTGTCCTGTGTGTCCCGGCGAGGGCAGGAGTGCCACCAGCAGGGGGCTGCAAGGGCCGCCTGCTGCTCTGGCCAGAAAGGCCTGCTCCTCACCAGCTGGTAGAACAGAGCGACGGGGGATTCCGGGGTTCCCTTCTCTGCGTTTCTCAAGAAGCCAGAAACAGCCGGGATGGTCGTCATTACCCCCACGCCACGTGCCCCTGGCTCCGGACGTGCTGCACCGTCTTTCACCTCTTTCAAAAGCTGCTTCCCATTAGAAGCGGAAGGACTCTGCCCTTGCCCAGAGACCTGGGGCCCATGGGCCCGTGTGGTGGGTGTCTTCTAAAAGCACTTGACTCACTTCACAAAGGAGAGGCAGGCAGTGTGTGCCCAGAGGCCAGAACTCTTGGGAAGATGAATGTTGGCAGCCCTGTCCATGAGGGAAAGCAAGAGGGGGGATCTTGCATGGTTTGGCTTTCACAGAGCCTCAGCTAATCTGCACCCGTAAGGCAAAGCAAAGACTGTGAGATGCCCCCGACCTCTGGAAGGCAGTGTGAGTGCGGTGCCGCAGCGTGTCTGGCAAGGGTGGTGCCCTGGCAGAGCCAGGCAGCCCAGGCCCCCCAGCCAAGCTTGTGTGGAAGGGGACCCTTGGAAAGGTTCCCAAGCCATTTCCCAGTGTGGGCTTTAGCCTGGCCTGTCAGGATGAAGGGCTTCATTGCTTTAAGGTTTTCTTCTGCGGAGACTCTCCAGAATCTCCAGGGATGTGGATGATAAAGACTGCGACAAACAGCATGATAAATAGGATTGCGCTGACTGTGAGAGCTGGTGGGGCGTAGTGGGGATGAGCACAGGATGGGACTCAGGCAACCCGGCCCAGTCCCTGCTGTCCGGGTGGCTTTGGGCCAGGCACAGACTCTCAGCCCAGCCTACCTCGCAGGGGCATTGCTGTCACAGGGATAAAACTGAGAGCAGGAGGAGGGGAATGATGCAAGCCGCTTTGAGTTTGTAAGAAAAAAGGCGGACTATAAATCCAATAAATAAATAAAAGAATGCTCGTGGTTAAAACATGGTGTTTCACAGGTAGTAACTGCTTCCTATAGATACGGGAGGGAAAAAACAGCCGTTTTGCTTTTACTGGTTTAAGTGTTCAGCACATGCTCAGGGCACAGTATCTTTCAGTCATTTTTAACACAGAAGCCATGGAAAGCCAGCAGGCCGCACACCGGTGGCCGGGCAGTGGGCAGCGTCTCTAAGAGACAGAGAGAAGACTCATAACTCGGGTGCGGGGGATAATGATGCAAGCCCATATTGTAAAAGATTGTACACCCGCTACTGGGTGATTCCTTGTTCTACACATGATGCTAGCCTGATACACAGTAAGAGTTCAGTGCCGATCATAATATGCTGTCACCAGAAAACAGCTCTCAAGAGATCGTAATCGAGACAGCACAGTCCATCCAAGATTGAATTAGCATATTTGCATTGCTTTGGTTTTGGAAGGAGAAAGCTGAGTGTGCAGTCCTCCAGAGAACTAACCCTAACCCGTGGCTGGACTAACTCCTAATCAAAAGCACCACCTGAGTGGAGCTCTTGCATTTTAACTATTCTAATTTGCCTGGCTGGTGCTTAGGCTGGGCATGTCCCTGGCTGACAGTGGCTGCCCTGTGCTGCCGAGGGACCAGCCGAGGTTGCCTCTTGGGAACAGTCAGCAGCCCCGTGAGTGGGGGGAGGCCCTCTGGGCAGCTTAGGTGCCAGGGCCAGAGGGGCCCCTGGGCCAGAGCAAGTCCTGAGCACGAGCACCTCGCACCCCTCAGGCAGAGGCGGCCTGGCCACTTCGTGCCGGAAAGGGCCTCCTCTGATGGGCACCTGGAGGGGGCAGGAATTAACCCTAGGCACCCAGGGCCTGCAGCACACGCCTTCCTTTGAGCCACAGACCTGCCCAGGCTGGGCTTCAGTCCTGCTGCCTCACAAGGAAGTGGCTCTCAGGTGGAGGCCGCACTGGAGGCTTTACGGAACCCATGTGTGCCTGAAGTGCCCCGGCCTCGTGAGGTCTGCCAGAATCGGGCGTCTTCCCAGCCCTCCTGTCCTCCAGTCCTGCTCCCGAGCATAGTGGGCTAGTTTCTCACTGGCCTCTGTCAGACGAGGGTGGACGTCTGCCGGACCATTTTTGCCCCCCTCCCCAGCCCCTCTGGGGGCCCGTGTCCTGCAGAGCACCTCCCCGCCCAAGAGCAGGGGAAGGCCCATGCCCTGGCTTAGGAGTGCCGCGGAGCAAAGGGCGGGCCAGCCGGCCGTGGATGTGGTGCGGGGCTGGCGCAGGATGGACCAGCTGCTCGGGCTCCCTGGGCCGCTTGGGAGCATTTAGAGGGATGGCTGGCATTTTGGAGAGAACCCGGAAATGGGCAGCTGTTACCAACCCCACCTTTTTGCCAGCTCTTTAATGAGAAAGCTCCCAGAATAGCATGGCTTGGAAGGAACAGGAGTGCTATGGGCCTGTCCTCCGGCTTGCGCTCTCCTTGAAAGCTGCATCCCGCAAGGAAGATGGGATGCTCAGGCCCCAGCAGCTGGGGGTCCCACTCCCAGAATGGCCCGCTGGCCCAGAAGTTCCTCATCGAGCCTGCTGGAACGGCACTGCGGGCGACGGTGCCACAGAAAGCCGGCCCCTCAGTGGGGGCACCGAAGGGGCCTGCATCTCCCGCTGCCCCTGCCCTGCAGCCTGCTCGAGCAGGCCTGCGCGGGGGAGTCCAGCTCGGCCCTCTCTGTCCTGCAGGAGGGAGCGTGTGCACAGTGCTCCATGCTCTGGGGCCAGCCCCACTTCTGGAGATGGGTGCCTCGTGCCGCATCTTTCCCGCACGCGTTCCGAGGTGGACGGGGTCCCTGTCTTGACTTTTCCCTCTGCATGCTGTGAGGCCCTGATTATCTAGAGCAAAATGAGGAGGATGCTGCTGGCGAGGAAGGATTTTAAGTGAAGTTGGTTTCACCCTCAGTGGTACTTGTGCACCGGCAGCGAGTGAGGGGGAGCAAGGGGCTTGATCCTTGGCAGCGAGGAGGAGCCTTGCTGGCAGGCAGTGGGCATGGAGGGCAGTAGAGCGGTTGCCTGGTCCGGCCGTACTGGGCAAGGAGCGCAAGCTTGCGTGTTCGGCGTGGGCACTGACTTTGTGTGGGGGGGCACAATGCAGACGGGTGCCGGGCCTCGGAAGTGGTGCCCAGCCCGCCCCAGGAGTCCACGGTCCCTGCCTCGCACAGTTGGATGTGGCCTGGGGTTGCCATCCCGCCCACTCTGCCTCTCTTTGCACTCGTGCAGGGAAGCGGCCTCCCCCCTCCCCCCGTCCCCCTTCCCGCTGTGCTTTTCCCTTTCCCGTTTGCTCTCTCCTTGGATTTTGAAGGATCCAGGCCACATTTGGGAGACACCCCCAACCTCCTTCACTGACATTGCTCGTTTCCACAAGGCATGGTGCGCGCTGGTTCTACGAGAAAGCCGGCTGCGTGGGGCCAGGGCTGCGGCCTTCTGCACACAGCTTCACCCCATGGCAGACCCACCTCTCAGCCCTGCCACCACCTGCCCACCTGCAGGCATCGTGAAGGGATGGGGGGGACTCCTGATGTGCCTTGCTGAAATCCAGATAGACTGTGTCAGGCATCCCTGCGATCTATTCTGTTACTGTCGTTGGCTATTGCAAAAAGAGATAAATTTGGTCTGACATTATTTGTATTTGATTAACTCATGCTGACTCCTAGTAATCAAAAGTTCTTGAAATGTACCATGTGGACAAAAGCTGACTGACCTGAGAGGTTTTCTTGTTCCTGGAGTCCCCCAGGAAGTGTGGCTGGCCATGGAAAGCATCCAGCTGGGAAGCACCTGGGCTTATGAGCTGCGACTGCTGCTTGGCGAGCTGAGCTTAACTGCGAAGAGTTTTCTGCTTTCAACATCTCTGCTTCTGTCTCCTGCCCCCCCCCCTCCAGTCTGCTGTTCCAGCTCCAAATTTTGCCATGCCTGTTACGGTTCCAGTGACCAACCAGAACGCCTTGCAGTTCAGCAGCCCGGGAGGATCGTTGGTGACGCAGTCCCTGGTGACCTCTTCGTTGACGGATCCTCGGCTCCTGTCGCCACAGCAGCCAGCCCTCCAGCGGAGCGCCGTTTCCCCAGGCCTCCCCCAGAGACCAGCCAGTGCAGGTAGCACCATTCTTTAGAAAGACAGGCAGAAATCTTTTAGGACAGAAGGACTATCTGTTTGCATCCCCAGACAAAAAGCCAGGACAACCTAAGAAAAAGGCTCTTGTTACTTTGGGCGAATTAAGCAAACATTCCTCAAGCATGGGAATAATTCTGAAAGGCATAAAAGCAGCCCATGGGCAGCCGCGTGGGACGGGGTTTTCACTCCCCAAGAAACATCAGGTTGAGCCACTTCTTTTAGGAAGGCCAGTTCGGTGAGAGATTTCTCCACCCCGCATGGCTTGCCCAGACCCACACAGGGTCTCCTTTCCTGCTGCCGGGTGTGTTCTGGGTGCTCAGCTCTCGGGGGCTTTGGCTTTCTGGTGACAACCATTGCCAGGCTGGAAGGAATGCACCACAAAATGCATTCAGTGCCTTCTGCACCCCAAGGGAGTTGTATCTAAAGTGCAGCACCGGTAGAACAGAGTAACGGGGCAAAAGGAGAAAGCAAGGGCAGAATGCGGCTCCGTTGCGGTGCTGAGGCTTGGCTCTGGGAGGGCTGAGGGCCTGCTGGGGGCTGTTTCTGCTTTCCGTGGTCCACATGCCTCACCTGGAGGCCTGCATTCATTTGTTGATTTATACTTTGGATTTCGGGATGCGCCAAGTCCCTCTTTCACCCAGCCGCCAGGGATACCTGTGTATGCACACGCTTCACGCTCCATCCACACATGGCAGACCCTTCTCGGTCTGAGCAGTAGGAACGTTCACAAGCATTTCGTCGCACCTCAGCAGCTGAGTCACTGCGTAGGGTAGGATTCTGCACACCGAAGCCAGAGCTCCATTTGTGACCCGTCCAGGACGCTTTGGCTTCGGGGGATGCAGAAGGCCGTCCCTGAAAGAAGAGATGAGCAGCTTGGAGGAGCTTCTCCGCTTTCTGAGGAGAGCTCGTGCGTCCCTTGGGGAGGCAGGTGTGGGGCTGGGCGTATTCTGCGGGAATGGTGGAGGATGGGAGAACCTGGAGGAATGTTGCCCGTGGGGTCGTGACGGGTCGGGTGGGACCTTGCGACTGAACAAAAGGCGCCCCCCCTCCCTGGCTTGGACATGCTTTAAAGACACGGCAGGGCTTTGCCGCTTCCTTCGCCTGTGGAACGGCTCCGCGAGGTGCCGTGTGCAGCAGCCGCATCCACCCCACCCGGAGGCTGCAGCCCACGTGGCCTGGCGCACGTGACTGGTGTGATCTGGCAGGCCACTGCAGCTCCTCAGCCTTCCCAGTGTGTGGCCCGGGCCCCCCAGCAGCCCTTGACTTGGGGGGCGTGGCTCGCTCGGGCAGCAGCAGGCTGGCGTTGGCTCCGTGAGAGTGGCTGACCCCCCCCGGGTGGACCAAGGTCTGGGTGAGGGGCCGGCCACGACCACGAGGGCTGTTCCGGGAGGCTGGCTGGGTGCAGCTGTGGCACTCAATTCACTGCGGGGGGAAACGGACCCTGTGCAGACTGAGCCGCCGCCTTCCCAGGAGGAGCCCCTGCCAGCCTCCAGTTGTCAGGCGGCAAAGGATGCTTCAGGGCAGGGGGCTTCCTGGGCAGCCCGAGGAGGCCAGTAAGAGAAACACGGGTGTGGAGCGTGGCAGGCCAGGCTGCTGCTTGCCGGTCGAGCTCCGGATCGGAACCCTAATTCAGCTTGCTGGTTGCTTCTGCGCAGGGGCAATGCTTGGAGGAGACCTCAGCAGTACAAACGGCGCCTGCCCAAGCCCTGTGGGTGAGTAGACGCGCTGCCGAGGACGCGTTCGAGGGTCGTTGTGGGCGCATGCAAGCTGGGGAAGGGGCTTCCTTCCTGTGCCGTGGGGGCAGGGGGCTGCAGACCTCGGGACCTGCGCCTGCCGGGTGTCAGGCAGCACCCTGCCTGCCGTCTTGCAGGATGGCTGGGGGCCTGTTTTGGGCCCCTGGCCCAGCCCCATGCGCAGCTCCCGTTGAAGCCTTCCGGACTGGTGGCTGTCCAGCTGCGTCTTGAGTGCCTCCAGGGTGGAAGAGCCTGACCCCCCTCAGTCGCAGGCTGTGTTCCCCTCCCGCTCTGACAGGCAAGCAGTTCTTCCTGATGTGAAGCTGGAACCAGACTTCCCGTGGGATGGGGCTCCCTGGAAAAGAGGATCCCAGCTGGGATCCGCACGGGGATTCCAGTGCAAGGACGCTTGATGCCCTGCATTGGCAGAGGGAGCGGGACGAGCCTGTGGCTCTTGCGCAGGGGCCGACTGCAGCCGGGACGCACGGGCGGAAACCCCGGGCCTTGGCACTAGCAGGGTGAGGCGCTATTCGCCAGCCTCCTCGGACTCCCTCATTCTCTTTGGCTTCAGCAACAACCCTCACAGTGGGAACTGAATTTTGCCCGGAACGATACGCTCTCCCGTGCACGCACACGCGCACACCCGCGTGCACTGCATACACATAAGTGGGTATAGATTGACACATACCTGGCTTTGTGGAGTCTCCGTGGCGAGTTGGCTGTTGGGACTGCCCCGATGGAGCCCCCACGCTGCCCCGTTGCTCCCACAATCCGAAAAGGGGATCCACATTTCCAGGGGCCCAATGTGCAACCTCCATGCAGCTTTGCGCAGAAGGATCTAGAGAGGGAGAGTGGCGCTTTATGGAGAACCGCACCTGATCTGGGTAAGTGAGTTCACGTGCGGCTGCACTGCACGTCAGCTGAGCGGAGACGTGTTTCGGCCTCCTCAGCCATGTTGGTTTCCTCCCAAGGACAAGAAGCTGCTGCGGGACAGAACCTCTCAGTGCTGCCCCAGGCAGCTCACCAGCTTGGAGAAACAGCCTGGGGGAGCCAGGTTCAGCGCCTCCCCTCCACGCAACAAGAAGCTTTTGGTTCTGGAAATGGCTGTGGTGGCACCAACAGAGGAGGCACATCTGCTTGGGCCCTCCGTGGTTTTGGGCAACACGATCGCCCGTGACGGGGCTGAGCGGGTTGCCACGGGAATGTTGTCTCGGCTCCGCTCTGCTACCCAGCCGTGCTTTGTCAACCACAGATGACTTGTGACAGGAGCTGTGGTGTGACACTGGACTGTGAACCGAAGAGGTTGTGGGGGTCAGCAGCCCCCGGTCTGTGAGCGCAGCTGGGTCCAAGAAGCTCAGCAGTGCCTGCTTCAGCAACCCCCACACGGTTGCCCCGCGAGTGTGGCAGCTGGGTTTTCTGACCCCAGTTGCGTCTTGTCGGATTGCCTGGCTGCATGCCCCACAGGACTGGCTTCTGCACAGACCCCCACGGCATGCCTGGCGGGGGACAAGGCTGTCTTCCTGGTGGTGTCCTGGGGGACTCTGGCCCAGCTGGGCTCCTGAGCTCTTTGGCGCCTGCAGCCTCCCGTGCGCTCTCCTTGCTGGCTGCTTGCGGCTGTGAGAGCCACCTCCGAACCCCTTCGTGAGCACTGTGGCCCCAGTGACACCTTACCGAGGCTGCCTAGGAATGTCAGACTTTTTAAAGAAAGGGTTTTGTTTGTCTGAATTTTGCAGAAGTTTGTGAAAATTATTTTTTTAACCTGTGCTTGTCGACATCTGCACTGAGACAGGTGTGGGATGGTGAGCCTCGCGGAATCAGTCCATTTGCACAACATGGCAACCTAACAGGTTGGGCTCGTGCACTCCCGGCCTCGGAGGCATGTCTGTGTCTGGCTCAGCCCAAGGCTCTCATGTCCTCCCCAGTTTTCCCCCTGCATTTTAAGAGGAGCTAGCAGTCAAGTCAATGTATTTTATTGTGTTGTAAGCCACCCCGAGGCTTCGGCTGGGGGTGGCATAGAAATGTTATAATAATAATAAATAATAAAGTCACTCAGAATTCCTTTTCCCATTGAAGAACAGGAGGAGAGCAACATGTTTTGTGCTTTCCTGGCCACCTGGAGACTGGGAGGGGCACGAAAAGCGTGGCTGCAGGGATGGGGGAGGAATTGAGATCTTGCTGCAGAGGTACTTTAGCCCCTTTTTACTGCAGACAGGGCAGCTAAAGGTCCTCGCCCTGCTGACCGCTCTGTGTGGCCAGAGGCACTCCCTGGGCTTTGCCCCAGCTGAGGCTTCCCCCAGAGCCACACCCCTGCGACAACTTACAGTTCTGCAGCTCGGGCTGGAGAGGCTGTTCAAACTCCTGTGCACCGTTTTTGGCAGAGTGTTTTGGCTGTTTTAGAAGTCCAGCAGCCGTAGGCAGCCTCTCTGTTGCTGAACAAGGCAAGACCGCCTTTTGTCCCCCTCCACAGTTTGGACGGCTCTTTCTGCTGCCTACCTCTGAGCTCAGTGATGCAGAGGTGGCTGCTGGGATGAGCTGTCAGGCTCCTGGCCCTTTCCGAAGCGGAGCCAGAGTATCTCAGGAATCCAAAGAGCCCTACGGGCCTGTTAGAAGAATTTTACATCATGGATAGTCGAAAGATACCTTTAGCAGGCCTTCCCACAGGCTACAAGATAACACAACTTATGGGTATAATCCTGTGCACATTTACATGGGAGTACGTCCCACTGAACACAATGGGACTTGCTTCCAAGTCAGTGGACGTAGGGTTGCAGTATGAACATTGTTTTAATTGACTAAAACAGTGGCAATTTTTATTTTTAAAGATTGGATTTAATAGATGTGCCTCTAAAAACTGCTGAGGCGTTTTAGAAGGGGCCTTCTCTCTGGTGTGCCAGAGAGGGGCAGGAGGAGGTGCTGCTTTGTGGCCAAGATCCCCTGCCGCTGAAGGGGCCATGCGGGAAATATCTTGATATTTCCTCCCAGAGGGGAATTTGTGTGTTGCCAAGTATTCATACAAATACTTGGCAAGTTTCTCTAACTGCGTAGGCATCCTAGTTATATTAAACTATTAATACTAGTTATATTAAAAATATTTGTTGTTGATGTCATTAATTTTATTTCCATACTGCCCAGTGGCTGAAGCAGTCTAGGCCATTTACGACATTCATAAAATGTAGTAACAATGCAAATTCATAGAAATGTCACTGCAGAATTTTAAAGCCAGATATATACAGCTTAAATAACCAAGAGAAGCTTGTAGAGTAAGCCTGCTAAGAGCAGGTGCTCAGAGCTGTCTTGCACCTTGGTACAGAGGGGCAGCTTCAAGTGGGCCGGAGGGGTGCTGGTGGGCCTGCTGGGGAGTGGGTTCCATGATTGGGGACCTCCTCAGAGAAGGCCCCCTCCTTGTGGCCACTGCCTGAGCGGAGTGGCACTCAGACGAAGGCCTCCGATGAGGAGCGGTGGATCCTGAGCCAGCTGCCACTGGGAGAAGCGAGGCATGGGTGTTGCGGCCCCAAGCTGTGTAGGGCTCCATGGGCAAAGACTGGCACCCTGAGCTGGCCTTGGAAGCAGGTAGGCGACCGGTGCAAGTGGGCCAGAACTGGCACAATGCACTCCTTTCTGGTCCCAGTTAATCGTCTGGCAAGCTTGCTTTGCAACTTCTGAGTGGCCTTCAGGGCGCCCCCCCCCCCATAAGGTTCCCTGCAGTCGTCTGGTTCAGAGATGACCAGAGCAAAGACTGCAGAAGCCAGGCTATCCCAACCCGTCGAGGGACAGAGCCGGTAGGAGGCACCCCATCCCACCGAGGCCACCTGTGCTTCCAGTGGCAGAGATGGCCAAGGAGGACTCCACAGCTCAGAACCTGCCCCTTCAAGGGCAGCATGGCCTCATCAGCAGAGGCTGCACACCCTCCACCCAATCCATGAAACGGCCTTCTAAACAAGCAAAGGGGTCTACCAAAAAGAGAAATAAAACCAGTAATCTGAGAAAAGGGAATGAAATGGCCAATCCAAAATACTCCCATGTAAAACCTCCGTAGTGAAGAAACCGTTGCATCACAGGTGGTTGGAAGAAGGTCTCTGAAAAGCTTATCTTCAAGGCTGAAATAATCACCTTCTCTAAAAAGCTTCCCTTAGCGAGAGGTGTGGGTGGAACTCTCATTTGTAGGGCTCAAACTGGCTAGGTCCAGGCAAGCGAGTTTTTCTGCACTGGTTTTAATTAGAGACTGAGTTACACTGCAGGTTGCTTGATTGACCTTGTCAATTTCAAACCAGCCCTTGTCTTACAGCCCTTGTTAAAATGACAGCAGTTTTGGGCTGCCTCAGAAATATTGCCTGAATCCTTTTTAAATGACTCTTCCTTTTGTTTAATTAAGGGACGGCAGTGGGTGGAGAGGGTTCATAATTGACTCTTAGGGTATCCTGGCCTTCAGAGTAAATGTTAGAGTACTTAGTAAATGTTGGTCTCCTGTGATGTGAAAAGTCATGCAGAAGAGAGGATTTGGGGCGGTGCGTTTCCCCCACTTGCAGCCACGCAGGTGTGGTGGGCCCTCCCTAGACGTCATCAGGGCATTCTTCCGCGGGCGCCTGAGGACAGCTCGCAGTGGGGAGGGAGGTTTGCTGGTGTGCAGCCCTGGCTGCTTGAGGGCTGGGAGCTGGGGCTGGCAGGAATGTGGGGCTCACCAGGGGCAGTGTGTGGGCCCTTCAGTGGGTCTTGCTTGCCACATGAGCGCTGATGGGCACCCGATCCTGACCATAATGCCAGCTCGCTTGCATTGAAAAGGTTTTAGAAACAAATCAATTAGAAAAGGTGCCCTGACTAGTCAGGCAGTGAGTTAATTTGGCTTTAAAGATACAGATCATCTTGACAAACCGTAAGTGGACACCACCATCTTTAAAAAGTGGCTCCCATTTTTCTCACCCACCCAGAATGTTTCTTCCAAGATGCAACATACGGCAGGAATCTTCTCGCAACTAAAGGAGTCTGCTTTTTTCCCCATTTCTGAGGTTTTGTTTTTGTTTGGTTGTTTTTGCTTCAGAACTCTTGTTTTACTGCATATGTAAATTTAATTGGATTAGAGTTCTTTATCAAAATGTTAGTCTTAAAATTACATTCTAGTTGTCCAAGATGTGTTCTCAGTGGCTTACAAAAACAGACTGAACACGAGTCAGCAGTGTGATGTGGTGGTTAAGAAGGAAACGCCACCTTGGATGCATAGCCAGAGGCGTGGCTCCCAGATATAGCAAGGTGTTGATACCACTCTGCACGACTCTGCTGTGTGCACAGCTGGAGTCCTGTGTCCAGTTCTGGGCTCCACATTACAGGAGAGACACAGCGAGGTTAGAATCGGTCCAGCGCAGGGTCACAAGAAGGGTAGCCGGGTTGGGAGGGATGACACTTGAGGAGTGATTGAGGGAACGGGGGCTTTTCAGCCTGGAGAGGAGGAGCCTCCAAGGAGATCTTGGAGTGATGTGAGGGGATGTCATGTGGAGGAGGGCCGGGACCTGTTCTTTCCTGCGGTGGAGGGCGGGACACAGTCCAGTGGGGCAAACCTCAAGGAACCAGGCTTCAGGTTGGATGCCAGGAAGCACTTCCTGACAGCTGGGACCCTGAGGGTGTGGAATGGGCTTCCCTGGGCGGAGGTGGAGGCTCCATCAGGGAGGACAGCACATGGTGGGATTGCATGAGCAGGGCTGGCTGGAGACGGGGGTCAGGCGAGATGGCCTGCGAGGCCCCTTCAGATTTGCTTTATTTCTGTGACAGTCACAGCAACCCAGAGCTCTCAGTCAGGAATGTCCCTGCGCAGAGGTCCCTCCGGCCAGTGTGGAAAGGGTTTTTGCAGCCTTTCAAAGGGCAGGCAAAGAGGCCTTGCCGAACTGTGTGTCTTTCGCGTGGGAGACACAGCTCTGAAGGAAGTCCTCTGTGCGGGCCCCAGGCAGCTGCGGCTCCACTGCTTTGTGTGGGCTCCTTTGCGCCGCAGCTCTGCCCGGGCTCCTTGCACTGAAGGACATCCGCGGGGGCATGTCGCAAGCTCCGCAAGGCCCAGCCGGCGAGGGATCTTGCCCAGAGGCCAGGGGACGCTCCCTCGGCTTCGGCTGCAGTGCCCAGGTGTGGAGCCGGGCACACTTGCCCTCTGCCAATCATCTGCCTGGGCCCCCTCCCTAGCCCCTCTGCTTCCTCGTCAGCTGTTGTGAGCGGCTGTTCCGGCTCATAACTTGGCAGGGTCCCTGAATGTCAGCATTGACGTCACCACAACATTCCCATCATTCCAGGAAACAGGAGCAGGGAAGCAAGAGGAGCGCTGAGGGAGCAGACCCCCGGAGGGACCTCGCCAAGCCCTGGGACTTTCTCAGGCCTCACCGGCCTGTGCCGTGCTGTCCTTGTGGTGGTCTTGTCGCTGCCGCCGGCTGCATCAGGGAGCTGACCGGGGGGGCAAGGGACCTGCCCACTGCCCCCTGGCCGAATTGACATGCTCATTCTGCAGGTCCATCCTGATGGCGAGCATGGGCAAGCTTGCAGGCGTGGCGTCCTGGCGGAGCCCTTCCCGCTGTGCGCGAGCCAGCCAGGCCAGCGGCTCTTTGGGGGCCAGCCCTCCAGTGGTGAGGAACCAAGAGTGCAGCACTAAGGACACCAGAAGAGAGGGTCCCGGCTGGGTCCGGCCAGGCTGAGTGCCCCCCAAGCCTGGCTGCCTGTTTGCGTGGGGAGTGGCTGCCTGCAGGGGACCCACAGCTGGTCCTGCAGTACAGCGGCCCCACTGCCCCGTGTGCCCCGGCAGGCAGCCTTGGACCGCCTTGGACCAGGGGGGCACAGCTATCAGGCCGGCACCCTGGGCAGCCTTCTCTTCCATGAGTTTGTCTGCTGCTTCTAAAGATGCCCAGCTGGGTGGGCAGCACAGCCTTGTGGGAACGAAGGCCACCGCTTACCTGTGCTAATCTGTCCTGCATCGCCACCCATCAGCTTCATGAGATACCCCTTTGGGTTCTTGTATAATGAAAGGGAGGAAAATGCACCCCTCCATACCCAGCAAATGTTGCACTCGCATAATTCACTTCTAAGCTGAACCACCTCGGGTTGTTGCTTCAGCTCCTCGATCCATTCTGTCGCTCGCCTCTGCGCTTTCCCCATCTTCACCGTGCCCTGTTCGGGTCCAGCAGCCAGAACTGTATGCAGGATGGCTAAGTGGCTTTGCCACCGGTTTCGTAAGGGCAGAAGAGCCTGGCAGTTTTCGTTTCAGTTTCTTATCCAGTTGGACCTAATGTGGAATTGCCCTTTGCAGCAGCTGCAGATTTTGGTTGCACCGCAGCTCCAAGGTCCGTCCCCTGGCTGGCTCGGATCCTGCCCACTGACACCAGCAGCTGGGCTTTTGCATCTTCCCAAGAATTCCATTTTCTTTTAACCACAGTGAATAGTTTGGTGTTGTCAACATACTTGGCTGCTGCACGGCTCGCACCTAACTTGGTCCAGTATCGATCCCTGGGGGATCTGTAGTTAGAAGCCCAGTTATTTCTCGATCTGTTGTCCAAAGGGAGCTCAGCAGCTGTTTCTCGAGAAACAGCCGGCCCTGCCTTTGGTGTGCGTGCCCCGTGCATGTGCCGAGTGGGGGGCCAAAGGTGCTCTTCTGCTTTTTGTGCTTGAAGTTTGGTTGGAATCATCTTGCACGCTCACCTCTTTGACAATCCCATGGAAAGCAGCAGAAGCCAAGTCTCCATTCAGAGACAGACTGGGGAGAGGCAGATCCCGCACAGTGACCCTGCAGGCCTCGCACGCTCACAGAAACCTTTGCTGGGCGTGTGCGCACACACGTTGCACCAGAGCAGCTCCACAGCAGGGGTGGGCAGAAGTTAAATCCCTGGTGTTTGGGACTGCAGCTCCCATGTTCCTGATCACTGGAGGGTCGGGGCTAGTAGGGGCCTCTGGGAGCCACAATCCAAACTCTCTGGCGATCTCTCCTGCCCACCCCGTGACAGAGGACTGGCAGCTCCAGCTTCCTGTGTCCCAGATGCCACTGGGCAGCGCCCGGGCAGGGCCTTTGCTTTGGCCCCTTTGCAGCAGGTACTCGGGCGGATTGTTTCTGAACGTGGAGGTCCAGCTTGATGTCCGCGGCTACTGGTTGTTAGAGTGTCCTCCACCAGAATCTCTGTGCTGCCTTCCGGGGCCAAAGAGCACCCTGTGAGCAGGGCAGGAAGGAGCATGTGCTCCCAGCAGCTGGTGCTCAGAGGCAGATGGTCTTGGGCATCGATGGCCCATGTAGCTCCGTTGCTCAGCACTCCTCTGATTCTCCAAGGGAAGGCAGAAGAGTAGAGGCTGCTCTGGCGGCCACAACTCTCGGCTGTGGTGGCCCGGCCAGTGGCTTTGGCCTGGTTAACCCGGTCCCTGATTTATTTATTGCCCCAGTAGATACAGAACGGGGGAGAAGCATCCCTGCCCTAAGACTGATGCCATTACAGCGCCGTGCTCGTGTGTATGTCGCATCCTCCATTGCCATGACGCTTTCCCAAGGACAGAGTTTGTCCTCTGGGAGGAGGAACAGCGGAGCTGGGGGGGGGGGTGGAAGTGGCGGCCTGGGGTGGCAGCGGGAGAGCACATTCGGGTGCAGGCAAGGAGGGGGTCACCTGGCCCAGCGCCTTGGATTCTTCAGACGATCACCTCTCCGTTTTATTCCTCAGGGAATGGTTATGTCAGCGCCAGGGCCTCTCCGGGTCTCCTTCCTGTGTCCAACGGCAACAGCCTGGGAAAACTCCTGCCGGCAAAATCTCCGCCGCCACCTCCCCACAGCGCCCAGCTGGCCCCCGGCAGCCGAAAGCCGGACCTGCGTGTCATCACCTCACAGAGCAGCAAGGGCCTCGTGCACCACCTGGTGAGTCCCGTGCTGGCGGGGCCCACATGCCAGCCCCCTGCCGGGGCTCAGGCAAGTGTTCAGGGTTAGGGCCACTGGCCTGCTCTGGCGCGGCATCCCGTAGGCCTCCTCCGTGTGTGTGCAGAGCACTGCAAAGCGCAGGGGGTCGAAAGAGCCCTCCAGCTGTCTTGGGGTGGCCACGGCTCCTGTCAGGACAGCTGCTAGGGGTGGGGCTGGCTGGGGAGAGTGGTTTGGTTGGTTGTTCCTTATTTATGCAAGTATTTATTATTAATTTAATTTCTATACCACCCAAGGCCTCTGGGTGGTTCACAGAGCGCATTGAAAACCCAATAAAAGATACCTTGTGTTAAAACATATTAAAACGTCATTAAATGTCTACAATACAAAATTTAAAACCACATATTAAATAGTGTGGAAGAAAAAATATTCATGTTTAACAGCTCCGACCTCAGAAGCTGCTTGAATGCCCTGGAGCAGAGGGTGGTCTCTGCCTGGTACCAAAGGATAGTAAAGTTGGTGCTATGTGGACCTCAGTGGGGGGCTCATTCCAAAACCGGGGGGCCTCTGCTGAAAAGGCCCGTCTTGTTATCACCAATTGGGCCTCCCCCTGCGGTGGCAGGCGGGGACGGGCCCAGAACCTGATCGCAGTGTCTGGGTGGGAGCTGGGAGCTGGGCCCCGCAGTCAGGGAGGGGCGGCGCACGTGCTGGGCAGCTCGGCGGGCAACCCGTCCTGGAAGAGGGCGTCCCACGCAGGCCGCTGCCTGTGGCGGCAGTTGCACGGCTCCACCTTGGGCGCGTTTGCTAAGAAGCAGCGCCCCTTTGAGTTCGGTGGGGCTTGCTCCTGAGAACTCTGGGCTTAGTTGGCTGGGCATCAAGTTTGCTTCGGGCATGCCTTTGTGCATCAGGTCGTTCAAAGGGAAACCGCATCCTGCAGGGCAGGACACCCTCGAGAGTTGTGGCGGCGGCGGCGTGGAAGAAACGTCTTCCCCACACGGAGGCAGGTGACAACACTTGTCAGCTGCGACTTTCACATTTATAGAAATTGTTCTGCCCAATTCATCTGGGCTAGCTTTTTAATGGATAAATTGTGTTTGCTCCATCAGTCTGTGTGATTAGCTAACCAAGCACTGCAGCTAGAGCTCCAGACACGCCCTGCCAGCCTTTTGGGGGCCAGGAAGGCCTTGTGAAAGGAGGGGGTGCTGTGCATAGCCCCGCACCTCGCCCTAGTGAGTGAACAGCAGAGCCCACCGGTCGGCGGATCAGGCTCAGTGAAGGGGCCACCCGGGGGGAGAGGAGGCTGCCTTCGTCCGGAAGGATGCTGCGTGTGTGTGCGCGTGCCAACACCATTCCAGGATGGCAGCCCCTTGGTTGCCGGGCACCTTCCATCCTGGATATCCACCAAGCATGGGCGATTTCTCTGCTGGCTTGCTGTTGAAAGGATGATTGTTGAGCAGTCTTGCGCAGTACGGCTCTTTCAGTTTCGGATTCCATATAAGGGACAGTAGAAGCATAATCATCGATTAGTGCTGGAAGCAGGGCCAATTCAGGTACTACGTGTAACATTTTCCTTTGGTTTCATTTGTGTTCTGCACCCAGGCAGAGGAACATTTGGATCTGGTGAGTTGCCTTGCCTGCCTGCCTGCCTGCCTGCCTCCTGCTTGTGTGCGCGCATGCGTGTGTGTTTCCATTTTGTTTTGCCCTGTTTGAGACTCTGAGGCCAGGGAGCTTAGGGGAGGGGTTGCTTGGGGACGTGTGGCCCCTTCCTTCCTTGTCTTGCCTGCCCCCGTAGGCACAGCCTCAGCAGCCAGGACATGTGCTGCAGTGGTGCCTGTCATTGTGGGAGTGCAGGGGGAGCCGTGCTTTTGAGGGCTTGCCCCAGGCCTGGCTTTCTGGGAGGGAGAAGTTGCCCCTGTAAGCGAGGCAACCCAGGAGGTGCCCAGCTGTCACGGCCTTCGGTGTTGGGCACTGTTGCCAGGCCTCTTGGGTGGTTCTTCTTCGCCCATTCTCAGGCTTGAGGAGAGACCCCCTCCATGTGCTGCCCTCTTCCATGACGTGAAGCGCTCCATCCCTGCCTTGAAGCAGCCCCCCCCCCCCCCCCCCCCCCCCCCCCCCCCCCCCCCGCTGCCTTCCCTGCCCGACTGTCCAGACTATCCTGCAGCTTGTCCGGCTTGTGCTGAAGGCCTCTTCACCAGGCAGACGCCATGCTGGTCTGGACATTCTCCAGGGGGTTTGTGGGGCGGGGGGGTGGGTACGTGCTGCATGCCATGGCTCTGCCCAGGAGAAGATTTTCTCCCATTGCATGGAGCTCAGGGGAGTGCAGTGGAGGTCCCCTGCCCTGCCGTGGCTCAGCAAGACCTTCGGGGGGACCACCGAGGCTTTCTTTACTGCGCGTGCATGTACGTTTCTGGCCAGTCCATCAGTGCAACAGTGAGGTCATCCAGACCAGTAAACAAGCCGGGAGCCAAACAGCACGGTGGAAGCTGTTTCATCCGAGGCTAATGAGTGGCGATCTTGAGTGCATTAGTGCAGAAGGGACATCCTCGCGGCCTCCAGTGAAGCTCTGTGGGGTGCCTTGGTGGGGGGCGTACCACTAAGCGTCCTTCTGCCCAGTTGCCGCCATGAGGGAGGGACACAAAGGGATGTCGTCGGCCGGCTCCTGGCACGCCCTTCCCACCCCGGCGTCCGGGACTTCAGCCACCCTGCTGTGTCCTGCCCTGGGCAGCCTCCCGGCCATGCCTGCTGCTGAAGCTGCCCTGTGGGCCGAGCAGCAAGCGACTGGCAGTCCCGATCACACCGTTCCCCTTTCTTTGCACACTTGCCCATCCTGGTTGAGCTTGGAGCACATGGATCCCTTCCTTTTAAACCTCAGTCCCTGAAGCACACATGAAGACCGAGGGCTCTCAGAAAGACTGGCCTGGCCTGGCCTGGCCAGGGAGCCAGTCCCTGTGGCACAGCAGTCAGGAAAGAAGGGAGTGGGCTGGAGGGCTGGCGGAGCAAAGGACTGGATGACGGAAGTGGGAAACAGGAGGCCTGCGCAGTCTTGGCTCGTTGCGTGGCGGCACTCCCTGCAATGCCTGGGCCATCCTTGTCAACTTGATGCTGAAAAGTGATGCCAGCCCCTTCAGGAGAGCAGCTTGGAGCAGAAAGGCCACGCATCCCTGCCGGCATCCTTGGCACAGGGCCTTGGGCAGCAAGCCCTCTTTCCCTGGGCAAAGCGCTTCCCTTGCAAGGTGCAGGACAGCCAAGCGCCCCTTTCCGTGGCTTCCGCTGTCCCGTGGCAAGGAGGGGCTGGCCGGCCTGTGGCTTGGGCGGCATCGACATGGCATTCACATTGTGGCATGGAGCGGGGGCTCGTGCCCCCGTGGCCCCCCAGCCACGAGTGCGAAGGGGGTTTTCAGACCCCGGTGCTAGAAGAGCGCCCGGGGGAATACATTCTGCCTGGGGGCCGGGAATGCTGGCCTCCCTGTGGGCAGAGGGAGTGGCCGCACTTCCTCGCAGGGTGCTCTCGGGCTCTCTGGGGCTGCCCCATTGCTCCCCACTTCCAGCCCCACAGGCGGAACCTGATTGGACCTCCAGGCCGAGGAAGAGCAAGGGGGCGATGCCCTCCGTGCCCAGGCAGGAATTCCTTCTGAGTATTCCGAATGTGCCGGGTCGTGGATCGCAGCCCTGGCTCTCCGGCTGTGAGGGCCGAGGAGTTCCCTTGGTGCCACGCTTTGGGGCGGAGCGTCCTGTGCTCCCGCAGGATGCCACCTGTGCCCTCCCCCCAGCTTTGGAAAGAGGCTGCACGCCCGGAGGCGCTCCTGGGGCCCTCAGGAGGCGAGGCCCCAGGAGCTCCAGGAGGTGAGAGGCTTCCCTGCAGGGACTTGCTAGGAGTGGTGGGGGGCGCCTGCCTCCCCCCCCCCCAGGGGCTATTGACCCTCATGCTTCGGGAAGCCGGTGCCAGTTGGGGGGTGAGCAGTGGAGCACCTCGGCCAAGGCCTGGGCTGAGACGGCAGCGCAAGGAGTTCGTCTGCTACCCTTGCGGGAAAAGCATGTTTTAAACAATGTGTGAGGGGTACTTTTGAGCAGCATACGGTGGCTTTATGCTTGATTCCACTGGCATTCATCTTCCCCGATGGCTCCAAAGGGCCTGGGGAAAGGCTTTGGGGATGCAGGGCCGCTCCTGCTGGGGGGCGGCCTTGGGGGATGCTGCTGGCATGCAGCGGGTCCTGTGTGGGGTGGGCTGGCTGCTCCTGGGGCCGCAGAGGACGCAAGGCCCGCCTGCTGGTCTGTGCGCAAAGCGCTTTCACCACAGCCTGGCAGCCCCTTCCCAGCGTCTCACTGCTTTCAGTGGAGAGGTTCTGGCTGACCGGAGCCACTGGGCCAAACTCAGGCATGGGGAGGAAGGGGCGGCCTCAGCCCCGGGCCATTGAGGGTGGTGCCAGAGACCTCATGGCGAAAGGGCGCGTCTGGGGCAGGAATCGAAAGAGCAAGAGGCAGTTCCCATAGGAATGTGTGGCGGGGAGGGGCAGGCATGGTGGGGGTGGGATCGTTAGGGATGGTCAAGGGCAGCTTGTGGCCAAGGGTCTCATGTCCGCCTGGCCTTTAAGCCCAGGGTGGCCCTGGGGGACCCTCTCTTGCAGCACATGAGGCTGAGGGGGCACCCAGGGAGCCGTGTGGCTGAGCCATGATTTGGACCGCGTCTCCTCGGGCCCCACAGCCATGTGGCACGCAGAGGCCGGCCCGAGTGGCCCCAGACGAGTGGCTGCAGCGCTCGCGGAGGTGAGGCCCCCAGCAGGCCAGCCTGCCCTTGCCTACCTGAGGCCCCCGAGAGGAAGGCGAGCCGCTTTCCCTCCTCTGCCATGCCGTGCCGGGGCCGCTCCCCTCACGCGCTCACGGCCCTTCTGTTTCTCCCCAGCAGAACACGCAGAGGCTCGCCGTCTCCCAGGCCACCCACTCTCTGACCACGCCAGTCGTTTCCGTGACCACCCCGAGCCTCCTGACCCAGGGCCTGCCCTTCTCGGCCATGCCCACGGCGTACAACACAGGTAAGCCCCCGCACACCTGGCGCCCCCCTCCAGGCTGCCTCAGGGAAGCGCGATAGAGATCCAGAGGGCGATGAGCGGCCTGCCAACGGGTCTCCCTGCGCTGGGAGTTTGGGGGCACGAGTGGGAGGAGCCGGAGGAGGTTGCAGGCAGGCGCCCGGCAGCCTTGCCCTGCCGTCAGCCTCCAGTGCCCCCCAGCTTCAGCCATGCGTGGCCCCTTGCTCCGGGGAGGGGAGCTGCTGCGCAGGGAAACAAGCAGAGGTCAGTGGTGCGCGCTGGTTGGTTTCATTGCTGTACTGCCCTCCAGCTGACCTTATAGCAAAGCAAATGAAAATCTGTCACATGTAATAAGACACAATAGTTGTTCGGTTCTGCAGTGTCACTTGCAAAAAATTGTAACCGAAATGCTGTGGGGTGGTCCACTGCCAGTCCGTGCCTGTCAGCAGCTCCCCCGCTCTGCTCTGCAAGGGGGGGCCACATCTCTCCGAGGCACCCGGAACGCTGCTCAGCGGGGCGGGCAGCTGGCACGGGCTTTGGACACGCAGCAGCCCTGATCGGGTCCTGCGGGGGAGCCCAGCCGAGGCCTGGGAGAGCTGCCGCGGCGCCGCACGGACCAGCGTGGTGCGAGGCGCCCTGCGAGCCCTGCTTGGAAGCCCCAAACAGTGGAGGGAGGATGCTGGCCACCGTGCCGTGATGCCTTTCGTGGGAGGTGGTGCTGCAGGCAGAAGGGGCCCCTCCTGGCCATTCCGACACAAGAGGCCTGCTGCCTGCACAGGGGGTCTACGGAGCCAGGCCGAGGGCTTGGGCTAGCCGTGAGTCTGACCCCTTTGAAGGAACGGGCAGCCAAAATGGGTGCCTGGAGAAGCGGCCTTCTCCAGGGCTGCTGCTGCTGCTGCTGCTAGCATCTCAGGTTGGAGGGGGCCCGCAAAGGCATTGACGCCAGCCCCCTGCTCAGTTCAGGACTCCACCCCTCCGGGTGTGGCCTGGAAAGTGCCTTTTCTCTCCCTACATGAGTGATCCATGTACACCTTGGGAGGAACATATTTGTACATTTAGTGGAATGTGGGCGTTGCATAATTTTAACTTCATTAATTGTTAGTTGTTTGCGGCGTTGGGTGCTGAAGGCACCATTTAGCATCAGGACTGGAAGCTGCTCCCATGTTCCCAGTTTCCCCTGCCCCACCGTGCTCCCTTGGCCCCACAGCCAGCCAGCGGGTGGGGAGGGCCTCTCGATACGCAGAGCATGGAAACCTGACCCTTCCGCTGTCCGGAGGTCCTGCGTAGCCTGCCTTGCTTCCCTGCTGAGAACGCCACAGTCTTGGAGTGCCCCTACGTTTTCAAGCTTCCCTTCAGAACCTGAAAGATTAAGGGGCTAGAATGTCCTTTTTATTCTTTTTTTCAAGAAAAAATGTTGCTGTTTTTTTCCACAGTTAAATTAGGAGACTCATGATACCTACATCCTAGCCATTCCCATGTACGTCGTCTACAACCTCTGGCTTGATTTATGTGGCCTCTTTAATCACAGTAAGGCAAAATACTGTGGCTTACTTTTCCTTGTATCTTTAGTGTGGAAAGGAGGCGCAGAGGTTTTTTTCCCAGCAGTCTGGCCGGGTGCGGAAGGGGGAGACGAAACTTCCCAGCAAGGACTTTGGCAGCTTCCCAGTATTTGCTTATGAGTGATTTTGACAGCTGAGGAAGGGAGGGGGTGACAGAAACTGCAGCCACCCAAGACAAGAATGGGACAGGACGGGACGGGACGGGACGGGCAGCGCAGCCAGGGGCTCCACCAAATATCCAGGTCGCATTGTGCTTGTCTCCAGCCCAGAGACCATCTGGTAGAGCTGCCCCCAGGAAGATGGGACTGGAGGCCAGCTGCTTGGGGGAAGAGTGGCTACCACCTTCATTCATGCACCAGGAGAGTTGCCCCGGGCCTCCCCCGCCTGGCCAGGAGGCTCCCCTCCCCTTCTGGTCTAGTGAGTTGCACTCCAGCAAACACCTGCGGGCTTCCCCCCAGGTGCCCTTTTAACATCAAGGCAGCATCAAGGAACCAGGCGCCGATCGCACGCAAGAGTGTGGCAGCCGTCCTGAGGAGCAACGCCGTTTTCCACCCTGCTGCAGGGCGGGTGTGCAGGGGATTGCCAGAAGCAAAATATGCAGAAAAACTGCCCGGACCTTATTATTCTGCCCTTCCACTGGTGACCCGGGAGAGTGTCTTTGCACGCGCAGAGGCGAGCGGCGCCTGCCGCCCTGTTCTGCCCATGGCACCCGCCGGCTTCTGTGCGGGGCTCCGGGTGCCTTGTGGCCCCGCTTGCAGAACTGGCTGGCCAGCGCCCTCCAGTCTGGGTGCGCTTCTGTGCATGTTTCAGAGAAAAAGATGTCCCAGGATTTCTGCATCTGTCTAAACCTTTCACTTTCTCACATCCTCTGTAATCCTGGGGGTTTTTGGCTCTCAGAACTTCACTGCCAGCTTCTCAGTGCGCCGATCTGTCCACTCAGTCCCTTGCTCTGCCCCGGATGCCTCCACATGGATGATGATGCTCCGGAAGCAGCAGCTGCCAAGCTGCATCCTCCAGATGTAGCTGTTTTTTAGGCACTGCTCGGCTCGGCACGGTTGCGGTGGTTTCTTGCCGGGTGTAACAGACGGGTTTGTGGCACAGGCTCATGGCCTGCCTAGTAAGCCAGCCTGCCTCTCTCACCCAGCGCATGGCTGGTCCGCTCCGTGTGGATGGAGCCTTGAAGCACGAAACTCGTTTGCATGTTCAGAGCGGGTTGCTGGAAGGAGGGATTTGGTTTGCGCCCGCAGAGCTCTCCTGTCTGCTTCCTGAGCGGCCTACTTGGCGCTGGAGCCAAGCAGTCAATGCACAAGGAGCCTGCATGGCCCATGTGTAATGGGCCGCTCGCGGGGGGGGGGCGCTCGAGCTGCGAGCTCAGTGCTCCCTGCGGCCCATTGTGCACAGCCGTGGGCTTTCGGGAGGGCATCCCTGTTCTCAGGAAGCCCGGGACAAACCCGCCCCGCCTTAGGGTCCCAGAGGCTGGGGGTACGCAGCCAAGCCCTGGGCAGGCGGGGGCGGGGGCTGTGCTCCCCAGCCAGGCCTGGCCAAGGTGTCACCCTGGGCAGCATCTGCACCTGCAGGTGGCCCCGTGGAGCCTTGTGCAGAGCCCCCTCCTGCCTGGTGGCGCGTGCAAAGGGCTCCCTCTAGCGGCATGCAAGTTTATAAACCTAAATTCGGTTTTCCTTGTGTTTCCCGTGAGGCCCCCCCCCCCCCCCGCCAAAACTACAGGCTTTCCTTGCCAGGGCAAGCAGTGGTGCACGGGTCACCGGCTTTGCTCAGCGGTGCAGATGGTGGCGGCGTGGGGTGGGCCCTGTGTGTGGGGACTGCGTTCCCATGTGCAGGCCGTCAGAGCAGGTTACCCAGTAAATGAAAGACTAACCACCGTGATGTTGAAATACCAGTAAACATGGGTAAGAACCCGCAGGTAGCGTGGCAGAAGGCCTCAGCAGGCGTGACCGAGCTGCCTTCCCAGCTCCGGTCTGGGCAGGACACAGAGCCTGGCCTTGGCTGGCAGGCAGGGTGTGTGGGAGCCAGGGCCCTTTCAGAAGTGGGGAGCCCGAAACTTACCAAGCTCTGGAGAGCCCCGAACCTTAAACTGGGCCCTGGAGTGTCACCGGAGGCAATGACAGGGCACCGCGATGCACCCAGCAGGCCCGTGGGAGCAGCACCCACCGTTTCCCAGCGTCTCCGAGGCCGCTCCACAGAGTGCGGGGCCAGCACAGCCATCTCCGGCTGGTGCCCTTCGGGGGCCTGGAAGCACCTGTGCAGCAAGGGGCACTTGTCCCCCACGTGCCTCAGGGATTGTCTCCATGCACGGAGGTTTGACTTCCGTGTGTTCCATGCTCCAGAGGCACCAGGTAGTGTCATCCTGGCACACTGAGGGCTCCCAAGCAAGGTCAAGAGGGCTGGCCCAGAGGCGTCCCCAAAGCCAAAAGGCCAATTGAGGACACGCTGAGTGGGCCGAAGAAGGAAAAGGCCAGGCTTGTGCATGGACAGGCAGGTGTGTCCCTGTGCCACTTGCCCCCGGATGGCATCTTGCCCTCCACTGGTGCTTGCCCACCGAGGGGCTTCCTCAGAGGGTCCAGCTGTGCACTGCTTGGTGCAGCCAGACCTTCAGCCTGCAACCTGTGGGACTGTTGGCCCGGCCAGCGGGTGGGCCCCGTGGGTGCCCTGCCTGTGCCCAGACAGGATGGCTTGAGGGACCCTCTGCGGTCCCCAGCTGTCCCAGGAGGCTGCAAACTGGGAGCAAACAGGGATTGGGCGGAGCCATTCCCCGGAGCACTTCCCAGCCCCATCTGCCCCGCACAAGTCCATCCCAGGCATGGTTCAAGCTGCGGCTCTTGGGAGTGGCTGGCGTGCTCATGCCTCCCCTGCGATTTCATCCCTGCCCTCCCTGGCTGGGGCCCCGCAGCAGCTTCTGATTGCAACTGCCAACTCCCCGCACCAGGTGCCAGGCTGCCCGGGGCTGACGGGAGTCATTCTGCAGCAGATCTGGGGGGCACCAGCTCGGGGAAGGCTCATCAAGCTTGTGCAGCCTCGAGGGCTGGACCCACGTCACGTGTGCCGGGGCCACGCCTCTGCCCTGGTGGAGCCTGCTGCTGCCAGATCGGCCTGCGCGCCCTGCCGCAGGACCGCGCCGGCACGGAGGCTGCCTCAGCAGCACAGCACAGGCCTCGCTCCTGGGTGGGCCTCCGAGCGGCGCTCCTCGGCCTCCTTCACCCTCGTCCCTTTTCCTTTCAGACTATCAGCTGACCAGCGCAGACCTCTCCTCCCTCCCGGCGTTCAGCTCGCCCACTGGCTTGTCACTGGGCAGCCTCTCCTCCTGGCAGCAGCCACAGCAGCCGCCGCAGCCGCCGCAGCCGCAGCACCTGGTCCCCGTATCACTCAGTAACCTGATGTAAGTGCAGACTGGCCGCGTGCCCCTCTGTGGGTCCAGCCGTGGCCCGGGAGTGGGGGGGGGGGGGTGCTTGTGGCGTGGCTCCAAGGGCACGTGAATGGTGCGTCGAGGCCAGGGAGGCGGGGCGGTGCAGTGCCCACCTTGCCCACCACGAGGCCGAGTCAAAGGCCCTGTCAGCAGATGGGGCTGGGTGGGCCAGGCAAGGCTGCCCCTTCCTCCAGACCAGTCTGACCTGCTCCGGGCGCCTCCTGGCATGGCTGTGCTTGTCCTGAATGAGCCGCAGCCTCCCCTTGAAATATCCGCAGAAAAGACCGTGTCCTTGTTTGCCCCCCAGGTGTGCGTGAGGTTATTCTGCCCTTCCAGTGGGCGGGGAGGGGTCCTCCCGCCTCTCACTGGGTGACTGGGGGTCGCTCTTACGGTTCTGCACCTTCCTGCTGGTGAACATTGACTGGGTCGGTTCGCCGGCTCCTTGGCTTCATGCCCAGAGCAAGAGCAGCACCTTCAGGACACCAGTGCGCGATGTGGCTGACCCTGGGGAGAGCCGTGGCACCGTGGCTGCTGGCCACAGCCCCTCCACCTCCCTGCCTGTGTGGCTGTGGAGGGCAGCTGGGTGTCCCAGGCCTTTGGCACTGACGTCCTCCGTGGCTGCCTTGTCGCTGGGGAGACGCCGGCCATGCGGTGGCCCTGGGAGGCTGCCTGTCCGCATTTCCACGGAACGACTCTCCATGTGTGCACATGTGCCTGTCTTTGTGCCCCTGCAGACAAAGCGGCCACCTGTCCCACGCCACCACCCTGACGGTCAATACCAACCCCAACATCAGCATCAAGTCGGAGCCTGTTTCTCCCAGCCGGGAGCGCAGCACTGCCACGCCACTCTCCTCCTTCCCGCCACAAGGCCGCCACGAGGCCACGGGGTGCTCGCCTGTCGACAGCCTCAGCAGCAACGCCAGCTCCTACGAGGGCGCCGAGCGGGAGGAGCGCTCCCGGGCTGACTTCGGCTCCTCGCTCGGCCTCCTTCGGCCTGTGGCTGAGGTGGAGGGGGAGAGCCCGTCCGTCAAACGCATGCGCTTGGACGCCTGGGTGACATAGCTGCCTCCGCAGCCCGGCCCGGCCCCTCCTGCAGCGCGGCTGCGGGCTCTCCAGTGTGTGTGCGTGGGGGGGAGGCGGAGGGGCGGGGGGAGCGAGGGGGGAGGCATGGGGAGCTGGGGGGAACCTATTATAAACTGCCTGAAAAATAGCTTTAGGATTTTGTAGGCGTCCGTTCTAGCAACATTATGCAGTACTTAACGTCTCTCGAGAATCTTTCCAGAGCCGCCAGACGTAGAGAAACCCCACGTGGTGACTGGGCTCTCCCGGCTCGGGCCCCACCACGGTGGCACCCCGCGCAGCCCCAGCTCTGTGCCGGGGGAGCCCCTCAGAGGAAGCTTAGAAGCAATGGGGGAGGGGGGGGGGGGGGGAGGGATTGGCCTAGAGCGCGCCACTTGAATGGCTAGCCACAATTCAGAAGAAGAGTGCCTTTGGAGGTCAAGAGTGGGCAGGACAACCCAGAGGGGAGCGTTGGCTTGCAGGCTCGTGTTCCGTGGTGCATCATCAGGCCGTTTCCCGGGCAGGCAGTGAGGAGCATCACGTGAAACCGAGGAGAGGCGTGGTCGAGTTCGGTGCAGTTGGGCGGAAAGAAAATTAAAGCTCTCAGTGGAATAATGTGTTGAATCGCGATTGATTATGTCTTGCAAGGAGACATTTTTGATGAATTTATCCAGGTCAAATGAAGGCTGAAAGAATACAATAGCTTTAAGGGAGTTGACTGTCTAATCCAGTGTTTCCCCAAACTTTTGATAATCTTGGGCACAGGGTGGTCGTTGTTGCTTTTTCTGGATGACATTGGAGGCAGCCGTGTCCTGGTTCACACTCCCCAGGCCAAATGCGTGGGCTTTCTCCACAGGCACCAAGAAACCGACCAGGGACCTTTTCCCCCGTTGGTTTCTGCCTGCCCCTTTGTGCAGCCCTGGTCTCTGCCTGCCATCCTGACCTTTCTTGCAAATGGGGATGCCCCTGGGACTCCCTGGGACTTGCCGGTGCCACGCGGCCTGCCTCAGGGCGCCTTGGCACACCCTGCGTGGCAGCGCAGCGTCGCTCCCTCCACCCAGGGAAGCCATGGGGAGGCTTCGCAGAGCAGAGGTGCGCGTGTCTGTCTCCCCACGGCACCCTTGCTCTGTCTGGGGAATCCTCTCTCCGGCGAGGGTGGGCCTTGGTTCAGGGGCGCTTCTGGCAGAACTGCTGCAGCGGGTGAATTCCGGCCATTTGCAGACAGTCAAGGGCTGTGTTCCCTTTCATTTGGCAAAGCTTCCCCAACCTGTTGCTGTGGAGCGAAGAGAGCCCACCTTATCGCGCTTGTTTCAGTGGGAATCCGCTTTTCAGCACCTCCTAGAAGTTCCCCCCGTGCAGGGCAAATGGGAAATGTGGCATCCTGCAGGTGGGGCCAGCGCGGGCGGGTCCCTTCCACACATTACATGGCAGCCCGGCAGTCATTTGGCGGGTGGCAGCAGCCGTTTTCAGCTTGAATTTTGCTCCAGGTCAGTCTAGATGAGAATTTATCAAAAATTGGAAAGTTCCCAATATTTGGGACAAAAAGAATCTGGGATTTAGAAATTACGAAGAAACCAACATAAGAGAGGTAGTCATCCCAGCGGAGGGCTCAGTTCTGGAGAGCTGACCGCAGATCCTGCAGGTGCAGCTGAACTGGCCTTTGCCGCCCCCTCTTGTCCCAACGCGCATCTCCTCTTTCATAGCTGCACAGTGCGCAGATGCAGTGTGGCCTCGCCATATTCGGAATAATTGTACCCACCCAATTTGACTGGTGCAGATGGGTGAGGATTCCATTGCAGTTCATTTTTTATAGAAATTTACCAAAATAGACAAAGTCCTTTATATCTAGTAGGCAGGTTTTAACAATTCAAGAGCAGGAGAAAGTGGGACTGGTAGATTCACCTGTCTCTAATTCAGAACTCTTCAGGGTTCAGGTCGTTTTGAAGCACCTGCTGGTCTCCAAGATGCCTTCTCTTTTTAGTTACATGACATTTTAGTTGATCAAGTAATCAATTAAAACTGCATATATTGGAACTTGGAAAACAGTTTTCATGTTGGAGAAAAATGTTTTCATTTAAACATGATGAGCATGCCTGGCACTCTCGTCTGAGACAGAGCTGTGTAGGTTTTTTGTATTTGTATAGATTTTTTAAAAATAGCAGGGGAGGGGCTGAAGCTGTTGCCTGATTGAGTGAGACAGAGTGGCTCCATCTAGCCAGCCAGTTGACTCAATCTCACGGAGCCCCTTGTTCCGGTGCAAACCTGTAATGTGTGAAGAGGCTCCGAGCCCTGCCCGGAACCAGCCTTGCTGGCCAGGAGGCGCCACATTTCCCGCCACAGCCTGGCCAGATGTGTGCAGTGCAGCCTTCCCTTGGAACGGAGCGTGAGGCGGCCCTTGACCTTCTTCTAGGCCGCAGTCCTGCCCTGGAGGAAAGTCCTGCCGAACTCAGCGGAGCTTACTTCTGAGGAGACGTGCATGGGAGCCCACTTGCGAACGCTCTCTTGCTTCCCTCTCTGCACATGCCTGGAGCATGCGGGACGTTGCCAAGCACCCCTCTCAGCACGGAGCTGTGAGATCAAACCAACTGTCACCCGGAAAGCCTGCAGGCAGGGCAGGGCGGGCAGGGCAGGGCAGGGCAGGGCAGGGCGCCGGGCCTCCTGCCGCCTCCCTCCCCTGCGAACAGCCTGCGCCTCCTGAGGGGACGTAAGCAAGAAATGGAAGGAGGCAGGTACTGCTGTTAGCTCAGGAATCTTGTACTGAAGGGCTGTTTGGAGGCTCCTGGAGGGGAATCGCGCAGCATTGGCGGGACTCCTCTCAAGAGCTGCCGAACATCAGGGCTCGGTTTGTAATTTTTAGTTTTGGTTAGACTTTGTTTACGTCCATTCTTGAGCAGAACTTGTGCATTTCCAAACCACACGCCGCCTGCACAGTGGCCACCGCTTCAGCTCTCTTGACTGACTGAGACCTGGAATGGAAGGAAGCTCCTTTGGTGCTCCTTTGGTCGAATCTTGACTTGGATGCTGGGCAGGCCTCTGGTGGGGAAGGCTGTTGCTGCTTCTGCAGGACCAGGGGCCCCAGACTCCCGCGGGGGCTGAAAGGAAGGGGCAGGTGATGCAGACTGGAACTTGGGCCCGGGTTTGGAAAAGCTCTGGGCGGGGCGCGGCAAAATCACGCAGGACTGCGCTGCCCTCCCACAGAAGTGCGGGTGCGCGGCCCTGTCCCCCAGTGGGGGCCCCTCCAGGGGTTGCTGGCTTTGCGTTTTTGTGTCCACGGCTCCACCAGGTTCACCCCATCAGCTGCCCAAGAGAAGCTCCATCTGCCGCTTTGCGCCCTGCTGTCTGCGGTTTCGTATGCAGATGTTTTCTGTCAGAGTGTTGTGTTGTGTACCCCATTCCTGGCCCAGCCTGGTCCAAAACGCTTTTCCTCCTCATGGGCATTTCTGCAGCGCACCTTGTGTTCCAGGGATGTCCTGAGGGATCCCTGGGGTAGCTCACTGAGAGGTCACAATCTGCAACAACTATGGCCTGTGTGAGTGGAAAAGGCTTGGCTGCAAAACATGCGCTTTTCCCATTTTCTTTGTGGCCATTTCACTGGGGAGCAGCATCGTTCTGGTTTCCTGCGTCACAGCTCTGCTTTGGAATGCAGAACCTGCAAGATCCGCCAGCAGCGTTGAAATGAAGGAAGGAATCAGCAACAGGCAAAGGCCTTGCATGGGTCAGTAGCAATCTGGTACAGAAACGACTCCCCTTTCCGAAGGGTGGCCTGGCTTGCAGTGGGTGACTCCTGCTGCGGGGTGGGAGCGGCATTCAGGGGACGGTGGCCGCTGCCCCCGGTTTCCGCAAGCTCTTCCTTGCACTTCTTTCCATCCGGATTAGCAATATCTGCTATTGCACACTGGGACGATAGAATTCTCCCCCTCCTTCTTCCTCCACCTCGTCATTTTTGAAAGACAAGCAGAAGAATGACAATCTACAAAATCAACACCCTTGTTTGTATTTCTATAAATATATTTCTCGAGATCTATTAATTTTATTTTCGTGTTCATCTGTACTGTTGACAGTTACATTGTGTATAATTTTTTTTAATTTGGAAAAAATTGGCGTTTGTATAGGGTTTTAGTTTTAAAAAGTTATCTATATATAAATATAAATATATATATTATATTTTCCATTTTTAAAAAGGGGTGTTGCAAAGAAACACAAAATTGCACGATTTAAAATGACTTTAGTTGAAAATGCTGCAGTTTTTAGAGATGTGGGGAAATGGAGCTTATTTATTCTCAAAGGCTACAAAAAAGTGTAAAATGCATGGAAAGAAAACATTTACAAAAAAGACAAAAAAAGACAAAAAAGTGTAACCTGAACAAAGTGTAGCGTTTTAAAAAAACCACAAAAATTTAAACAACAAAAATGGCTAATATATTGTGTTTGGCTCGTTCACTTTTGGTTTTTAAATGTTTCCTTTTTTTCTTTGAGAATGAAATACAATAGTGTATATTTTCATATAAGAAGTATGCACTGATATGTTTAAAAATGATATATTACTTTCTAAAAGCGTGGTTACTTAACCAAAGTCTGTTTCTGCTCTTTTTTGAAAAAAGAAAAACCTACCTGGATCGTCCAACATGCATGTTTTCTAGGTTCGGGGTAGCTGATTTTGTTGGCAGCCCCCGAATGCCACGCCGAAGAGGCCTCGCCTTTCATTGTGAGTGGGCCAGCCCGCGTGGTGCACAAACGCCGCCAGCAGCCGGCCGTGGGGCCCGCAGGCGTCGCTTCCAAGCCGCGGGCGCGTCTGGACCACCACTTGCCTCGCCGGGCTGCGGAGTCGTGTGCCCTCGAGGGACGGCTACCGCAGCCCAACTCACAGGCCACGGGCTCAGCACCGTAGCACGCGCAGCACCCAGCCAGGGGAAGAGGGGGCCCTGATGTCCAACCCCCCCCCACATGCCGATCGCTTTGGATGGCGTGGTGGCGCTTCTGTTCTTCACCCTAATGGCCCTGTTCTGTGTGTAGGTCACAGAGCCCTTCTCAGGCTGCCGTTGCTTTTCACACGTTCTTTGCCTC